TATTTTTTACCTTATTACAAGATCTGTGTTTATAAAAAGATTTCCTAACCTTTTTGAACCTGGCCAACCAGCTGCATTAACACCCAGCTGAGAACCCGAGTCTGCTCTCTGAAAATTTGAGTTGCACTTGAATGTACTTTCGGTTTCTGATATAATCGAAAGACAGTGAGTCTAAGAAACTTATCACTAACATATTCAAAGTACTTACTTTTTTATTTATTGGAAAATTTAATTATTGATACCCTGTCGGATGGAAAAAAACTAATTCTTTAAAGTTAATTTGATCAGATACTGTAATCTTTTTTTCTCTTCAAAATTTGGCTATTCCGACAGTAAAAATTTATTACTGCAGAGCGAGTATAAAGTTTTTTATCTAAAGAAGTAGTTTTTCAGGAAACCTATCACAATTGTTATGTTAATCAGTAACTATGAGCAGTTATTGTTTTTGCATTATAGTTACCACAATGTCCATTTACGCAAAATTTTAAAGTTGGAATTAATGGACGTTAAACGCCTTAAGTTTTTCCTAAATTGTTTGCAAATTTCAGTTTATTCTTGGAAAATTTGAATAACAACACCCTACCCAAAAACATAATTTTAATCTGAGTAGTTCAGTACAGTCTAAAAATTTGAACTATTTACACAAAAAGCAGAGACTGTTGATGAGGAAAGAAAATTGAAATCATTAACTTCTCGTATAGTCCAAGCTAAAAATGTTTGTGAAAATAATTCAGAATTCGAAGTGTGTCAAAAGTTGAAAAAGTAATTCATCTTTACCGAGGTTGATGGAATTGATATACCCGATACAGTTGAAGTTTTTGCACTCCGCTGTTGCTGCCGCCGAGGCAACTGTGAGCCGGCTTTAGCTGTAGGATTTAAAATACCGGTTGCATCTTCGGAATCCCGTCTAGCTGTTTCGGCTTCAAGTTCATGAAGGAGACGGCGGCCTCGAACTATTTTTGAGATAAGGAACATTTCTAAAATAGGATGAAAAAAGGGTTTAAAATTTGTATACTACCGCGCCGTGTTTGGTCATGAAGACTTAGGCCACAAATAATTATTTTTGAAAATGTGAACTCAATATAACCCTACAAGTTCAACAATGTCGTGCCTAAGTGCAAAAAGAATGAATCAAGTTTTTTTTTTTTTGCTGAATAAAATATCTTTTACGCTCTTCACTTTTTGGACCGGATAGATAATCAAATGATGCAAAACTGGTAAATAATTTGAGAGAAAAAAGAAGTACTTTTGTCACCAAACGACTGACTGCTTCAACGATAATGGATGCATAAAAGACTTTTTTCTGATCAAAGACCAACAAAAACGTTCAAAGATGTAGCGATTGGGAGATTTAATGGTCAGGTCTGAAAGTTATATAAAAATTAAAGTAAAACATTTATTTTTGTCAACGGTATCAATAACACAAACCATTCACGTAATACTTTTCCTAAGGATAGGGCGTCGACGAGACAAGCAACGAAAAATTACTGCGCAAGTCGTTATCAAAAAATCTTAGAAACGATCAAATGGCTGCTTCCGATATAATTATATATGATGAAACAGTAGTGTAGAAGGCTCGCTGCAGTGTAAGATGGTCGTGAAGCTTCCTGGAGCACCGGAGATCAATAAAGCTTCGACGGTTCATGCAAACTCACAGTTCAATATTATGATTTTATGTAAAAAGCTAATCGTCTGCAATGGCTTCTAGGATTCAGATGCTGACCAACGCTTACGGTTACTTGTCGATCAATTTTTCTATCTTTAGTTGATCGACGACGAGGAATGAGTAACGCATAAGACGTGATGAACATTCATTCCAGTTACCACTGGAATCTGTTTTTGCTAGAAGTACAGAAGAAGGAATTATAGGAGCTTCTCTACAATATGTCTAAGCAATAAAGATGTTTTAGGCGTCGTCTGCAGAATATACACCTTATATATACGAACATCTGATTTTTTGGTTTCTTTACAATTTTTTCCCTTATTTTTCAACCGACAGTATAACACTATATCATTTTTTGTTACCGGTTTTGGGCATATCTGTAAGAAGTATCTATCAATTGAATTAAAGATTTATTAATTCATAAAAATAATTAAATTTTTTCATTCCTCTCTTTTTCTTTTGACTTACAAATTTATGTAAGAGTTTTTTATTCACTCTTTTTATTTCTAAAATAAAGATCACTGTTAAAAAAAATCACTTCTAAGCAACTAAATTTTGCAATTTTTTCAATCTACTCTGTGATTAATTTTTTTTTTGCTGCCACGTCTCATATATTCATCGTTATAATTCTGAAAGCCTTTGACTATATTGGTTAGGTGTATGTGCTGAAAACAAGTGAGTAAATCTAGGATAACCAGTTAACATCGAAATAACATCAATTAATTTTTGATCTGTCAGATATTCATCCTCTCATAGAAGAAAAATCTTTATATTCACTAATACTTCACTTAAAATTCAACCATTTCAATTTGAATGTTCATTATAATATCTGAAAAAAAAAAGGAAGGGGGGGGGGGAAATAGGATTTTAGTTTGTAACAGTTAATGCGTGCTTACTATAATAGACTTACTATTACAAGCAACAAATTTAGAATGAACTTTGCTGGTCAGTATATAACTGGCGAAATGCCGAAAAGTTGTTCAGCTGCTGTCTGATACCGACTAAGAAAACTACTACTTTCAAAAAAAAAAAATTTTGTTTTTGTTTTTGTTTTTTTTTTGGCTCTATTTATCTGTAAACGTGAGTGAAAGTTTTGTTTTCGTTTTTTTCTTAGAATAAAAAAAAAAATGAGTACTAGAAGAAAAATAATCTGCGCTTTTAGTTTTGAATTTTAAATTCTGTTAGCCAGTTAATAAAGTCACTATAAGTAACATTTAAAGTGACGATTAAACTTCGAAATGACAAATCAAAAATGCAGACATCTAAAAAACTGAAAACGAAAACGAAAAAAAAAAAGCCAAGTTGCAGACATTCTTAAATGCTTTTGTGCATTTTGCTTACAGTGTGATTCGTTTCACTAATCAACAGTGTTGTTAATTTGAGACAAAAAAAAACTTGTATTTCCTAAAATGTTAAAAAAGACCAAACAACAATGTCGCAACAACAAAAATTTTTATGGAGCTATAAAAATACCTTTCTTTAACATTGTTCTGATATCATTGCACAGAAACCAATATTTATCGGCAATAATCCTCATTTTCTTCATTAGAGTCATCGCTCCTTTTTTTTATTCTTTTTTTTTTT